GAGAGAGTACAGACAGCAGGGGGCAGGCCACTTGACTTCCCTGCCACCTGCTCCTCTGCTGCTGCTTGCCCCACTGTGGAGGCGCAGAGGAATGAATTTAAAATGACCCTCCAAAAATTAGATGGTAGCATAGACAATTAAAAGATTTTAAATTTTCCGTTTCTAGAATCTAGTTATTGGGGCGCTGTCTTGAATTGGGTAGAGATGGTAGTAGTAAATAACCAACTGAATTCTGTACAACTGGATTTTTTTTGCTGTTATCTTTAGTATGTCCGTTAAAGTTTTAAACGGGAGACTAATAATCTTCAGTGGCCTCAAACAAGCCTTTCAGTCACATTATCAGGATGAACAAATTCCAAATGAGACATGGTTTCTCAGAGCATAAGTGTATTTGAATTATGAGCAAAATAAATTTTAAACAGATATATCAAGCAAATCTACTGGTACAGGTCCCAGTATGGTTCATGGCAGCAGTCCCACAGTGCACAGGATGCCACAGCAGCTTAAAGGACTGTGGGATGTACACTTACTATGCTCAATGTATATGCTGGAGGTTGGATACCTTTGCTGTGAAGCTGTCCCTTTGAAACTTTTGCTTTGATGCTTCATCCTTTCAGGGAAATCTGTTCAGGTAGACGAGCTGTAAATGAGATAACACCTGTAGCACAGCCTTGCCAAACTACACATCAGATTTAACCTTGGCAATTGACAGTAAATTAATAATTGGTAAACATATGCCTTGACTGTCTGTTATGTGGGCGAAATAACTGCCATAAGCAGAAAGTTTGCTAACTTCATTTATTGGTGAAAGGATGATGAAATGGTATGGTCATGACAGAGAGGAATCGTGGACTGTATAGAGCTTGATGTGTGGATGGGGAGCATAGGAACTTCTGGCTGCCTTCTGGTATACTAAGTGTTTGTCTTAGTATTTCTTGTAATATGAGTTTCAACATGTTCTTCTTGCCAGACCATTTTCTCATTTTCAGGTGCATCTCCTGGTTTGTTTCAGCAGCTGAACAATATAGCGCACTGTATAGACAGGTATTTTTCAGTTGCTGAAAGATGCAATATACAGTCATTCCAGTAAGTTATCCACAATTTCCTTTTTTTAAAGAAAGCTATTAACAGATGTGTGTTTTTTTCCGAATCTACTCTAATTTTAAATTAACCATAATCTTGTTTAAAATCCTGTTATTTTAGGAGGGAGCCTTCCCTTATCCAGAGATTACCAATGAAGAATTGAAAGAAATCAAGCAATTTGTAGGACCTGTAGAAAAATTCTTCCGTGAAGAAGGTAAATCTTTTCTTTTCTCATGCAAATAGATAATCTCTGTAATTATATTAATACTACTATAAATATAATACAGAGTGTTTATAATTTCTCTATGTTTGTTGACAGCTATCATTGTTTTCCCTTCACTAGCCAGAGATCCCTTTTTATTTCTCTCACTTGTGCATCAGTGACAGAAAGTATTTTTGAAAATATTAGAATGGTTGTATAGCAGGGGTGAGCAATTTTGGGGGCCTGTGGGTCACACAGGGAGTTTTGGTGAACTGTTGCAGTCAGAACCCTCTTCCATCTGCAGCAGCTCAAAGCGGCTCCATCCCATCTGCCTGGTCAGGTGCCCTGCCTGCACTGGTCCTGTATGGTCTCCATGGACACCCCAGGATTGCAGGAAGAGCCCAGCAGTGTCTGACTGCATTTGTGGAGCTGCTGCTCCCAGTCACCCCTACTGTGCAGCATCTCCAACATAGCTCCCATTGTGCAGCTTCCTGCCTGGCACTTGCCACCAGATGTACCCCATGCAGCCCTGCCCAGCCTGCACTCTCCCTTCCCGTGACCCAGGCTATACACTGCTCCCATCCTTGGTGGCAGCTCCACTGCCATTTCCCACTTCCACTCAGCCCTTTGTTGCCATCCCTGGCTCCTTCCAGCTGTGCCTGGGTCTGCAGATGTTACTCACTTAGGTCTCTCTCTTGATGCCATTCAGGCTGGCATGCCATTCAAGCAGTTTCAAATCATACATCTGGCTCCAAATTTTCCATTCACTTTTTATGACTTTACAGCAGGGGTGGGCAAAATAAGCTGTCTTTTAAAATAAATAAACAAAACCTCTCTTTAGTGAGTACAAAAGCTCATGTATCATGGGGGAATGAAAAAAGTCAGGTTGCATGGTCTAGCTCAGTGGGAGTTGTTTAGTTTTGTT